TGACTCGACTCTACTGGAGAAGAGAGGAAAACACCCGTCATTGAGCCACTGACTGAATACTTACTGTGGGTATGCTCTGTCAGATGCTTTACATGCATCATCTCCCTACATCTTCTCAGCAGCTTTATAATCCTTACTTTACAGAGGAGGAAGCATATTGCCCAGACAACTATGTGTGTGTGTTTTTGACTGGGATGCGTATCGTTGACTTATTTTTATTTTTATTTATTTTCATTCTTGACTTTCTGTCCCTAATGGGAATCACTATCTTTCTTCTTTCTCATCAAGAACTGAAAACTGTAGGACTAAGTTATCAAACAGGGGTACCACAGAGTTCTTACTGTTTGATCCAGTACCAGGTGGAGTTGGCAGGGCAAGAATGACAAAAGTTCTGTGACTTCAGGAAGGCCTATTCTGCCTTGGAAAATGATCTTTAGATGTGGAGATGGCCTGAAGGACAGTTGCATAATCTTGGCAGCCGGTTCAAGTGCAGACAGACAAGGGAATGAGGTTTCCTAGCTTTGAGTGGCAGATACTGAAGGGGATCTGGAAAGCTAGGGAAGAAGAGAGACTTGGGACTGAAGAGAGAAAAGGTTGTGGGTAAAAAGTTCCTCTCTGGCCGGGCACGGTGGCTCACGCCTGTAATCCCAGCACTTTGGGAGGCCGAGTCGAGTGGATTACAAGGTCAGGAGATCGAGACCATCCTGGCTAACATGGTGAAACCCCATCTCTACTAAAAATACAAAAAAAAAAAAAAAAAGCCAGGCATAGTGGCGGGCGCCTATAGTGCCAGCTACTCGGGAGGCTGAGGCAGGAGAATGGCATGAACCCAGGAGGCGGAGCTTGCACTGAGCTGAGATTGCGCCACTGCACTCCAGCCTGGGCGACAGAGCGAGACTCTGTCTCAAAAAAAAAAAAAAAAAAAGTTCCTCCCTGCTGGGCACCATGGCTCACACCTATAATCCCAGCACTTTGGGAGGCTGAGGCAGGTGGATCACCTGAGGTTAGGAGTTTGAGACCAGCCTGACCAATATGGCAAAACCCCGTCTCTACTCAAAATACAAAAATTAGCCAGGAGTGGTGGTGCGTGCCTGTAATCCCAGCTACTGGTGGGGGCTGAGGCAGGAGAATCACTTGAACCCAGGAGGTGGAGGTTGCAGTGAACCAAGATCATGCCACTGCACTCCATCTTGAACAACAGAGCAAGCCTCCCTCTCAGGAAAAAAAAAAAAAAATGTAGAGGCACACAGAGCCTGGGTTCAGATCTTAGCTGGGTCGCTTATGGGCTCTGTCACTTGGGGTGTGTGACCTCACCTTCCCAAATCTGTTTTCTCATCTGCAAGATGAGCACGCTAAAACAAGATTAAAACAGGGATGAAAAGCAATCATATTTTTAGCCATAGTGTCTGGCACATAGTCAGTGCTCAATAAACAGTATCCTTCATTCTGAATGAAAGTGTCGTATGTTATTGCTATTGTTAGTAATAGCAACAGCAATAGTGGTATTGGTTCTACTATTAATTTTAACCAATACTCTAGGCATAGTATGAGTTGATGACTTTGAATGAATGGATTTAGCAGATATTCTCTTGGCTGGGCACAGTGGCTCATGCCTGTAATCCTAGCACTTTGGGAGGCTGAGGTGGGCAAATCATTTGAAATCAGGAATTCAAGACCAGCTTGGCCAAGATAGTGAAAAAAGTAACAGGCAGGACGCGGCGGCTCACATCTGTAATCCCAGCACTTTGGGAGGCCAAGGTGGGCGGATCACCTGAGGTCAGGAGTTCCAGACCAGTCTGGCCAACGTGGTTAAACGCCCCCTTCACCAAAAATATAAAAATTAGCCAGCTGTCATGATGCATGCCTGTAATCACAGCTACTCAGGAGACTGAGGCAGGAGAATCGCTTGAACCCCAGAGACAGAGGTGCAGTGAGCTGAGATCATACCACTGCACTCCAGCCTGGGCAACAAAGTGAGACTCCATCAAAAAAAAAAAAAAAAAAAAATTAGCCAGGCATGGTGGTGCATGCCTGTAATCCCAGCTACTTGGGAGGCCAAGGCAGGAGAATCACTTGAACCTGGAGGTGGAGGTTGCAATGAGCTGAGATCACTGCACTCCAGCCTATGCAAAACAAAAAACAAAAACTAACAAACAGGTCTTGTCTCCAGAAAGCTTAGAGCAGCAAGCCCCAGGCCAAGAAGATGCACAGTCTTTATAGCCAGGAGTTAGGAGTTGTGTGAGATTCATTTTCCTAAGGCTACAAACTTAAGCAGAATTAGGAGTGTCTGTGAATTCTAGGCCACAGATTTCTAAGGGGATCATTAAGAGAAATAGGGCTACAGAAAGGGCATTTCTGAGTTTGTATGCAAGGCCAGGTGTCCATCCTTCAGGGTGTGCAGAGGAGACCAGAAGTCCATGGAACTTTTTTTTTTTTAAGTCAATCCTGAAGCATGCTAGATGTCCTTGGAATCTTCAAGGCCTAAGGAACTTGGGTCGAAAGACCCTCAGATGTCTAGGTTTCCAAGACTTTCCATATAGGTTCTTATTCCCAGCCTCTTGGTTTTCTGGGCCTGGAGATTTGGCTTGTGCCTTTAGAATATCTGTGTGTATTTGAAACGAGGGAGACACAGTGAGATATAATAACCACCATACTAGTAAAAGCAGCTAGTGTTTACTGGGGACTTACTATATGCTGTGGCCTGACATAATTCATAGCAGCCATGCCAGGTAGAAATGATTCTGGGCTCCACTTTACAGATAGAGAAAATAGAGCTCAGTGAAGTGATCACACTTGCCTAGAGTCACATGGCCAGTAAGTGGTGGTGAAGGGACATATGCCACATCTCTGCCTATTCCTTTTCATCACCCATGCCTTTGGAGTCCTAGCTCTGTCTGATTAGAACCAGCTCCTGTGCCCATTTCCAAGACTTCACCATTAGCACATCTCTCAGAACTCCTTTGTGAGATATTTGTAAATCATCACCTTGGCTGCAGGTGTGAGCTCAGTTGCCCAAGGGTGACAGCATAGTTGGCCTCAGACCTAAATCTTTGTCTCTTTTCCCAAGTATTGGTATTCTTTGTCTTTCTCCTTGTACTGTCAGCATTATCTCCATCTTCTACCCTGTTTAGCTAGTCACAGAAGTGCTAACGAGGTTTTTTCTTTTTCTTTTTTTTTTTTTTTTTTTTTTTTTTTGTTGAGATGGAGTCTCACTTTGCCCCCAGGCTAAAGTGCAGTGGTGCAATCTCGGCTCACTGCAGACTCCACCTCCCAAGTTCAAGCAATTCTCCTGCCTCAGCCTCCCAAGTAGCTGGGATTACAGGCATCCACCACCATGCCTGGCTAATTTTTGTATTTTTAGTAGAGACAGGCTTTCACCATGTCGGCCAGGCTGGTCTCCAACTCCTGACCTCTGGTGATCCACCCACCTCAGCCTCCCAAAGGAGCCACCGCGCCCAGTGCTAATAAGGTCTTTGAGGGGGAGAATCAGACTTATAACAATTCCTACCCAAGCCTTCCTTGATGTGGCCAGCCTGGGGCCATATGCTTAGGGACCTCCCTTGTGGGTTGAAAAGGGAAACCTGGCTTATCTCCACAGGTCCTCACACAGTGGGATAGAAAGGAGAGGTCAAGATGACCATGGCATGGAACAGCCAGGGGATGCTTCCTGGAGGAAGGCAGTAAGTTAGGCCATCTACAAAAGAGAATTTGTATAGGAGGAAGGAGGTTGTTGTGGGCCAAATCCTTGAATCTCAGCCAAGGTGTGGAACTTGGATAAATACATACTGTGGAGAGAACCCCAGGAAGATGGGGAGATATCCTGAGCTGAGTCTTTATCTGGAGGAATGGGAGATGGATGGTGCCCTGGAAATGAAGGTGATGTTAGGCTAGGAGTTCTTGGACTTGAGTCTGTTGGTGCTTGCTGGTTGCCATTATAAACTCCTGGTCAGGAAGATGACATCCTGTTGTGATTTAGGAAGATAAATGCATCTGGATGTATGGGATCGACTGGAAGGAGAAAATCTAGAAGCAGAGAGACCAGTTAAAAAACAATAGCAAGCATTTATTATGTTGCCAAACCACTTTCCGTTCTTTGCTAGCTCATTGAATCTCAAAGCAACACTGTGAATTGGGTACTGTAATTATCTCCAAAATTTCACAGATAATTTGGTGCTCAGTGAGGTTCAAGGTAACCTACCAAGATCCAACTAGTAAGCTGAGGTGTCTAGACCATCTGATTCCAGAGCCCAAGCTTTTAACTACCATATAGTGCTGCCTTCTCCATTCAGAAAGGAGGAGACTGCTTTTTGACAGGGAAAATGGCATAGAGACCATGAAGAATGGAGAAGGGGTCATGGAGATAAAGCATGAGAGTAGGCCTGAGGGCAGGAGGAGTTCAGATTCCAGAGTAGCAAGTTTGGCTGATTGGGAGGCACTGTAGGTTTTTGAGAACAGAAGTGATAGAACGAAGAAAAATTACTGTACACCAGGTATGGTGGGCGCGTGACTGTGACTGTAGTACCAGCTACTTGGGAGGCTGAGGCAAGAGGATTGCCTGAGTCCAGGAGTTCTGGGCTATAGTGTGCTATGCTGATTGGGTGTCTGCACTAAGTGTGGCCCCAATATGGTGACCTCCTAGGAGCAGGGGACCAGCAGGTTGCCTAAGGAGGGGTGAACTGGCCCAGTTCAGAAATGGAGCAGGTCAAAAGTCCCGTGCTGATCAATAGTGGGACTGCACTTGTGAATAGCCACTGCACTGCAGCCTGGGCAACATAGCGAGACCCCATCTCTTAGAAAAAACAATAAGACAAAAATTACACCAGAGGCAGGGTCAGTGTGTTTGATCTCACCTATATGAGGGATAAGGTTGGGAGTTATGAAAAGAAGATCGTTATGAAAAGGAGATTGGAGCTGAGGGAGTAGGCCATAGGCAGTGCTCTCAGGTGAACAGGAGTACCCCACCCTGGCTCTCCTGACATTTCTTCTTATCCCTTCTGTAGCCATCGTCAGCCAGTGGCAGCAGGAGTCCAAAGAGAAGGTGGTGTCCCTCCTGCTGTCCCACCTTCCCCTGCTTCAGCCAGGCAACACAGAGGCCAAATCGGAGTACATGAGGCTACTGCAAAAAGTGCTGGCCTACTCAATCGAGAGCAATGCCTTCATCGAGGAGAGCCGCCAGCTGCTTTCCTATGCCCTCATCCACCCAGCCACCACACTGGAGGACCGCAACGCACTGGCCCTCTGGCTGAGCCACCTGGAAGAGCGGTTGGCTAGTGGCTTCCGCTCCCGGCCAGAGCCCTCCTACCATTCACGCCAAGGCTCAGATGAGTGGGGAAGCCCTGCAGAGCTGGGCCCTGGGGAGGCAGGGCCAGGCTGGCAGGACAAGCCACCCCGGGAAAATGGACACGTGCCCTTCCACCCGTCCAGCTCAGTGCCGCCAGCCATCAACAGTATTGGGAGCAATGCAAACACAGGTAAGTAGTCTTTACTAGGAGCTATTTTAAGAACATTATACATATAAAGTCAAGATTCAGAGCGAGGCAGTCTGGCTGTAGAGCTCATACTCTGAACTACTATGCTACACTACCTCCACCAAAAAGTACCCCTCCTGGAGATGCTCAGCCCTCACGAAGGGGAGGGGTCACCCATGCAGGGTGCCTATAAATTTCTTTCTCCTCATACCTTCTGTGCTCCCCATCGTGGGGACCTCAGCAGCCTTTAAAGGACCAAGATTGAACAGTGTTGATAGAGGTTTGGACCAAAAGAGGAAAAGGAATTGGGCATTCCAAGTAGAAGGCACAGCATGAAATAAGCACAGGGGTGGAAAATTAGAGAGGACAGTATACAGACGGATCTGACTGGGGCGGATTTGAATGAGTAATAAGAGTAGCAGAGACTTGTGCTTACTGTGTGCCTATCCCTCTGCTAAGGACTTCATGCGGAAACGGAGGCAGAGAGGCAAATGAAGTGACTTGCCCAAGATCACACAGAGGCGACAGAGTCAGCATCAGGATTTGAACTCAGGCCTGTCTTTACCCTCAGACCTCAGTGTGTGAAGGCCACATTCTGGGGGGCATTGAAGGACAGGAGAAGCTTTTGGATTCCAGGCAGTTGCAGGAAACAGGAAATCATTAAAATATTTTTGAGTGGGGAGCAAGGATTGGCCTTTGAGGGCAGGCAGCTTGGGTTTGGGGTGCTGCCAAAAACAGATCGGGATTTCTTGGAGAGTGCAAGGCCCTGGAACTCCGGCTGGCATTCTTGTTTTTGTCATTCTCATGCTGTGGCCAGCCTCCACCCCAGTGCAGAGCCAAGCAGGGCTCCTCAGGAACTGCACAATCATTCCAGTCAGGGTAATTTCCTGCCTCTCAGCCTCGCCTGCCCACTTCTTGGCTGAGAAGGGAGAAAGGAGGAGGCCAGAGACACCAAAACAGGCAAAAAGGCCTGTCTTGAGGATTCCCAGTCTCCCAGGGCCCAGAGTGTGCCATGTTCCCCGGGAGTGCTGAGTGGGGACAGAAGCCAGGGCTGAGGGAGTCTAGAGGCTGAAGAACTCCTGGAAAGAGGGCCCCGATACTCTGGGGTAGGGCAGAAACTGTTATTAGGGGTGGGCCACTGCCTTGCCCTGTCCCTCAGGTGACTTCCTAGCCAGGAGCATCAGTGTTGTCACAGCTGAGGGAAGATGCTCTGGGGCCTGCAGCAGGCTAGACCTCCTTCCTGTGCTGGGTGTCACTGTAGCACTGGCAGGAACCCCAACCTTTCCATCAGAAACAAGGCTTGGGCTCTGTCTCAGCCTGTCAACTCCCGTGAGAACTGGGGCAAAGGGCTTCAGCTCCCTGGGCCTTGGTGTCCTCACCTACCCAGGGTGAGGCTCGTTGGCTTTGTTTCATTTCTTTTGGCTAGGCTGACTTGGGGTACTTCTGGATGTCATAGGTGGAGCTCACAGGCCCTCTTAGCACCCTTTTGTCCTTTATCAAATCATCAAACTTCGTTGTTAGGACTTCTGTGTGTCATGCTCTGTGCCTGATCATGGGATTGCAGAAGTAATTGGGCTGGGCTGCCATTCTCCATGGACCCACAGTCCAGTGCAAGAGGGAGGCTAGTGAGAAGGGCAGCAAGCGCCAGGCCTGAGGCAGCAGCAGAGGGGTACGTGACCAAGGCATGAAGGGAGAAGTGGCTGATGGAGAAGAGTTGGAGAGGTGGGCGAGGCAGAGGGAAAAGCACAGATAAAGGTCTGGGAGCTCATGGGAACCTGCCCTGTCTTGGGAGTGGTTAAAAATCACGTTGGAGGCCGGGAGTGGTGGCTCACACATGTAATCTCAGCACTTTGGGAGGCCGAGGCGGGCAGATCACCTGAGGTCGGGAGTTCAAGACCAGCCTAAGCAACATGGAGAAACCCCCGTCTCTACTAAAAAAAATACAAAATTAGCCAGGCGTGGTGGTGGGTGTCTGTAATCCCAGCTACTTGGGAGGCTGAGGCAGGAGAATCGCTTGAATCCAGGAGGCAGAGGTTGCAGTGAGTCAAGATCACGCCACTGCACTCCAGCCTGGCGACAGAGCGAGACTCTATCTCAAAAAAATTAAAAATATATATATATACACACACACACACACACGTACATATACACACACGCACATATATAAAAACACACACATATATATATTAGCCAAGCGTGGTGGTGGGCACCTGTAGTCCCAGCTACTCGGGAGGCTGAGGCAGGGAGAATTGCTTGAACCTGGGAGGCAGAGGTTGCAGTGGGCCAAGATCACACTGCTGTACTCCAGCCTGGGTGACAGAGCAAAACTCCATCTCAAAAAAAAAGATCAAGTTGGATTCCTTTGCCAACCTCAGACTTGGGATGCACAGAGGGTGTGGAGCATCCTGCAGAAGAGGACCTGGGATCACTCTGAGTCTCCAGGCCACATGAGGGGCCAGTTTGGGCTCACTGCAGAAAAAATGGGAGGTAGTGAGGCCCCATAACGGGGTTGTTGAGGAAGCAGCTTACGTACTTCCTTCATTACAAGATATAATGATGTTTAAGATGGGACAGGTTCCTGCTGTCACAGGTCTTCTATTCTAGCAGGGGGTACAGTTAATAAGTAAACAAACCGGCTCACGCCTGTAATCCTAGCACTTTGGGAGGCCGACGTGGGCGGATCACGAGGTCAGGAGATGGAGACCGTCCTGGCCGACATGGTGAAACCCTGCCTCTACTAAAATACAAAAAAATTAGCTGAGCGTGGTGGCAGGCATCTGTAGTCCCAGCTACTCGGGAGGCTAAGGCAGGGGAATTGCTTGAACCCGGGAGGCGGAGGTTGCAGTGAGCCAAGATCGCACCACTGCGCTCTAGCCTAGTGACAAGAGCGAGACTCCATCTCAAAAAAGTAAATAAATAAATTTTGTAGAAAGTAAACAAATAACTTGATAATTTCAGGTTGTGATAGGTGCTGTGAGAAAGACAAGACAGTAATGTGATAGAGTGACTGGAACTGGGGCAGCAGAGGTGGGCAGTGACTTCAGATTAAGGGTTTAGGGTAGGCTTCAGAGGAGGTGAGACTTGAGGGAGCCACCCGCTAAGATCAAGAAAGTAAGAAGAAAGAGCGAGTCTAGAAGTCCTGAGGCTGGAACAGCCTTGAGTGTTTCAGGAACAGAGGGGAGTTTGGGAGGAGTTGAAGGCTAGAGAGGCATGAACCAGGTGGTGGGTTGTGGGAGGGGAGAGTTAGAGAGGAGCAGGGACCAGGTCCTGCATGGCCTTTTAAGCATGTGAAAGCATTTGTATTTTGTTCCCCCGTGAAAGGAAGTCACAGGGAATTGAGCAGGAGTCAAGCTCGGTCACATTTGCATTTTTAGAAGGATCTTTATGGCTGCTGTGAGGGGCATGGACTATAGGAGGCAAGAATGAAGGCAGAAAACCAGTAAGGAGGCTATGGCAGTAATTCCTGCCAGGGGCACTGGTGGCTTGAGCCAGTGGAACTGGATAATTTCAGGAAAGTGGCTGACAGCTTGCTGATGGGTTGGGTGTTGGAGGTAAGAGAATGAGGTATATCTGGTAGGTAGCTCCTCTTGGACCCCAGGTCCCTTCCTTTTGGCAGATTACGGGGCCAAACTGCCATCCTGGCACTGACGGCAGGGGGATGGTCTCCTGTGGTTGGGTCCCCAGCCTAATTTTTTGCTTTTCTCCCACTCTGGCCAGGTCTCCCCTGCCAAATCCACCCTAGCCCGCTGAAGCGCTCCATGTCACTCATCCCTACAAGCCCCCAGGTCCCTGGTGAGTGGCCGAGTCCAGAGGAGCTTGGGGCCCGGGCTGCTTTTACCACGCCCGATCACGCACCCCTCTCGCCCCAGAGCAGCGTGGCCTCCTCTGGCAGTGAGCAGACAGAGGAGCAGGGCTCCAGCCGGAACACTTTCCAGGAGGATGGCAGTGGCATGAAAGGTACACCGGGGACAGCAGCACCAAGACCCTTTTCCAGGGGCTTCTGCAGAGCTTAGAGGACAGAAAGGAGCTGTAGCTGACGCCTGCCTACCCCTCTGAGGAGGGGACATGTCTGAAGGGAGTAGATAGTCCCTGCTTTTAGGGCTCAAGACTAAGCAGAGAGACCCCACATCTACCCTAACGAGTTCTGCTCTGACTGGGGAGGAGCCCCGTCTTTGCACACCCCAGTCTGACAAGGAAGCCAGGACACAGCTAACTGATGGAACAGAGGTTCCAGGAAGAGTTTTGGAGCAATAAGTGAGGTCATCCTGGTATACATCCAGCCGAGCAGCTCAGAAGGGTCACATGTCCTTCCTAGGGAAGGCTGCCTGAGAGGGTCTGGCTAGGCAGATGAAGAAGGAGCTGATGGAATCTTAGCTCCCCACAATCCCCTCCCAATTTTTTGCATCTTTTGAGGCTTCCTGTGGGTTTAGTCCCACAACTTTTCCTTTACCCTGGTCATAAGGGCCAAACTCCTGACCTTTCACTCTCCCTCCTTTTCCAAAGATGTGCCCTCATGGCTCAAGAGCCTCCGCTTGCACAAGTATGCAGCCCTCTTCTCACAGATGAGCTACGAGGAGATGATGACACTGACTGAGCAGCACCTGGAGTCTCAGGTGAAGCCAAGGGGACCATCAGGGAGGTGTTGGGGGCAGCGCTATTTTGCATTCCTTGCAGCCCAAGCCTCCTCTGTCTCCTTGATCTCTATTTGGGTACCTGCAAATATCTCAGCCTCCCATCTCTAGCTTCCTGTCCCCTTCTGCCCTTGTCACAGAATGTCACCAAAGGTGCCCGCCACAAGATAGCCCTGAGTATCCAGAAGCTGCGTGAGAGACAGAGCGTCCTCAAGTCCCTAGAGAAGGTGAGAACTTGGTATCTGCATCTTCAAGGCCAGCCAGCCACTTGGCGGTACCAGTAGACCACAGGCCCTGAATTGGCCTCCCGACTCCTCGGGTCTGGCCTCTAATAGCCCCAGCCCTAGGGACCCAGACTCCAGGGACCACATGCAAGCTGGCATCAAAAGGCTCACTTGGTGGTAGCTAAGAGGCTCCCCTCCCTGTCTGTCTTGGTGGTTCTAGAATCTGTCTTTTGACTCTACACCTTCTCTCCACTTTTGCTTTTCCATTTCTTGCTGGTCTTTCTGGTAGAGCAGAGTGTCTCTGTCTGTACAATCTCTCTTTCCAGTTGATTGTTTCTAAACTCATTTTCCTTCCACATCTGATTTGATTTGATCTGATTGATTTGCATTCCTCATTCCCTTTCCTTGCCACTGCCTTCTGTTTGTATTTTTCCCTGCTCAGTATCTAGATCTGAATCTCTGATTCTATCCTTGGTGGGTCCCGAAGACTCCAACATTAGACTGGCTTTTCGTGAGTTTTGTAGGACTTCACCTTCATGGGAAAGAGGAAATGTTTGTGGGCTTGCAGTACCCTTACATGCCTTCTCTATGTGCTGGAACCCAGGGTCCTACCCAGTCTTCTGCAAGCCGTGTCTGACTTTCTGTGTAGATACTCTCTGTCCCTCACTGTAGGGTCTGCATGTGACCCCAGCCTGTGTCCTCCCATGCAGGATGTACTGGAAGGCGGGAACCTGAGAAACGCTCTGCAGGAGCTGCAGCAGATCATCATCACTCCCATCAAGGCCTACAGTGTCCTCCAGGCCACCGTGGCTGCCGCCGCCACCACCCCTACTGCCAAGGATGGGGCCCCGGGGGAGCCATCACTGCCAGGTGCTGAGCCTCCCCTAGCCCACCCCGGCACTGACAAGGGCACCGAGGCCAAGGACCCTCCAGCTGCGGAGAACTACCCACCTCCACCAGCTCCCGCTCCCACCGATGGCAGTGAGCCTGCCCCGGCTCCCGTCGCTGACGGAGACATCCCCAGCCAGTTTACACGGGTGATGGGCAAAGGTGAGACCTGCCACAGCCTAGCAGGAAATCCTGAGGCAGAAAGCCAAGTGAACTCAAGCACCAGGGATCAAATCCAAGTTAGATGTTGGGAGCAGGGCTTTATAAAGCCTGCTGGAGACTGGAACACTACAGAGAGTAGCCGAGACAGGGTGACAAGGCCCCTTGCCCTTGGGCATGTCCAGGCTAATGGTGGATAACAGCCCTTCCCCTCAAAGCGTCTCCAGGCCGAGCAGAAATGGGGCAGTGTGTCAAAAGAAATTCCATGTAGTAAAGGGTGAACAGTTGAGGGGAGTCCATTGATTTCTCTCAGAGGGGACCGAAGTCCAGGGGATGGGGATGGTGAAATTTATCACAGCTTCAGCCTTTCCTAAAGCAGCATGACGTAGCAGACTTTACACTTGGATCCAGAATGATCTGGATCTGAATCTGGACCTAGGGCAAGTGACTCAACTCTGAGCTTTAGGTTTCTCAGGCTAAAAATGTCTGTAGTGACAAGATTGTGTAAGGCACTATGTTGTATATCCTCATGATAACCTAAATACCATGGCTAGCACTTAATAGTTGGTACTCATCCAGCCTGAGTCTCCTGTTCCTTCTTGTGCACGAGCCAGCTGGAGGCTGGAACATGGCAGAGGGCATACTAGGGGCTAACCTGCCCTTTCTCATGTCCCCCAGTGTGCACCCAGCTGCTGGTGTCCCGACCAGACGAGGAGAACATCACCAGTTACCTCCAGCTCATCGAAAAGTGCCTGACTCATGAGGTAAGGCCTTCCGTAGCATGCTCAAAAAGGGAAAGGTGGCCGGGTGTGGTGGCTCACGCCTGTAATCCCAGCACTTTGGGAGGCCGAGGCGGGCGGATCATGAGGTCAGGAGATCGAGACCTTCCTGGCCAACACGGTGAAACCTGGTCTTTACTAAAAATACGAAAAATTAGCCGGGCGTGGTGGCGGGTGCCTGTAGTCCCAGCTACTTGGGAGGCTGAGGCAGGAGAATGGCGTGAACCCGGGAGGCAGAGCTTACCGAGATGGTGCCACTGCACTCCAGCCTGGGCGACAGAGTGAGACTCCGTCTCAAAAAAAAAAGAAAAAAGGAAAGGCTGCCCCATCATTCTCAAGACCATTGTGTTGTATGTGGCCCACAGGGCCTTGCCTGACCTGGCACATACATGCCAGCCCTTCCAGTCTTGTATCTTTCCAGTGTTGGCTTTAGAGGCTTCTTTTCAGAACCCTTGTACACACTCTTCCTCTTTTTTTTTTTTTTTTTTTTTTGTTGTTGTTGTTGTTAATGGAGACGAGGTCTCACACTGTTGGCCTGGCTGGTTTTGAACTGACCTCAAGTGATCCTCCCACCTCAACCTCCCAAAGTGCTGAGATTACAGGTGTGACAATTTTCTTTTTTAGAGATGGAGTATTGCTTTATTGCCTAGGCTGGTCTCGAACTCCTGGCCTCAAGTGATCCCCCTGCCCTGGCCTCCCAAAGTACTGGGATTATAGGCATGAGCAACCATGCCCAGCCGGTACATACTCTTTATCAGGAACAGTATCCCTTCCTCCTCTAGCTATCAGTTCAAAACGTTTATACCTCAGGGACACCTTTACCAACCCCTCATTTTTATTTAGGTTTCTTTTGCTTCCTGTTCTTCTCCCTCAGGGAGGGATAATTTGTCACAGTTATCATTATGTATGTATCTTTCCCTCACAACCAGACTGTAAGCTCTCTGGGCATGGTCACCTCTGCATCCCAGAATTGCTTGGCACAGGCACAGAGTAGATGAGCAATAAATCTTTTTTTTTTTTTTTTTGAAACAAAGTCTCACTCTGTTGCCCAGGCTGGAGTGCAGTGGCACGATCTCGGCTCACTGCAACCTCCGCCTCCCACGTTCAAGTGATTCTCCTGCCTCAGCCTCCCAAGTAGCTGGGATTACGGGCATGCACTACCATGCCTGGCTAATTTTTGTACTTTTAGTAGAGGTGGGGTTTCACCATGTTGTCCAGGCTGGTCTTGAACTCCTGACCTCAAGTGATCCACCCGCCTTGGCCTCCCAAAGTGCTGGGATTACTGCATGAGCCACCATGACCGGCCAGGCAATACAAATTTGAACAAATGAAGACCGGAAGGGAGGTCTGAAAGAAACATCACCCTCTCTGCTTCACCCGTGCCCTGCCAATTCTAGGCTTTCACGGAGACGCAGAAGAAACGGCTGCTATCCTGGAAACAGCAAGTGCTGAAGCTCCTCCGGACATTCCCACGCAAAGCCGCACTAGAGATGCAGAACTACCGGCAGCAGAAAGGGTAGGCAGGTGGCCAGGGTACAGGGTCCTGGCCTCCACAGGCCTTTGCTGGTTAGCAGATCGTGCTTAGAGGGGTGATTGTATTCTGGGCTGGGAATCCAGTTTTATTCAGTCACTGGGTGACTTTCCCAGAAGAAAATTTCCCACTAGAATAGGATGCCGAGCTGGAAAACAACACATGCCCCATGAGCAGGCCCCTCATATGTACCTTGCTCCTCACCTGTATACAGAGGGCCTGGAAGTCCCTTCTTAGACCAGACAGATAACAGAAATGTCTCCCTTGAGAATTGAAGTTTGGAGAACTGTTTTGAGTGGACAGTGAGGAAACCCTTGTATACTTCCCATCTCCTTCCGGGGACAGATGGGGACAGATGGGGACAGAATGTCTGATGGAGGTTTATGTTCTCTCCTACCACTTGGGGTTGTTGGGGAAGGTGAGGAAGAGGTAGACAGATGGGCCCCATCTACATAAATTAACACCCTGCCTTCTGCTCTCTCACAGCTGGGCGTTCGGCTCCAACTCGCTCCCCATAGCTGGTTCTGTGGGGATGGGAGTGGCCCGGCGTACCCAGCGGCAGTTCCCAATGCCTCCCCGGGCCCTCCCACCCGGCCGGATGGGCCTCCTGAGCCCCTCGGGCATTGGAGGTGTCTCCCCTCGACACGCCCTCACCAGCCCCAGCCTTGGAGGCCAGGGCCGACAGGTAAGCTGACTGGAAGCAGGGGCCATGGCCTCCTGGGGTTGGGGTGGCAGTACCTGGGATGTGTATGTCTGTATACTCTGTGTCTGGACCCAGCTTAGAGGTGGCAGGGATGGGAGTGGGAGAAGGCCTGTACCACCTCCACCACTCTTGGGTCTGGGCCTCTTCCCCACTCACTACTTTCTCTCTTCCTGGGAACTGTGTAGAACCTGTGGTTTGCCAACCCTGGAGGCAGCAACAGCATGCCCAGTCAGAGCCGCAGCTCTGTGCAGCGCACCCACTCGCTCCCGGTCCACTCGTCACCCCAGGCCATTCTCATGTTCCCTCCAGGTGAGGTGCCCCACCCTTGGGACTCTGCCTGGCCAACACCCTGAGCTGACCTCTCTCTTCTCTCCTGGGTCTCCTGTCCACTGTTCCTTCCAGACTGCTTGGGCACCTCTCCCCATACCTTGCAACACTCTACACCCATCTCACCCAATTGTGGGGGATTGTTTTCCTCCTCTGCTTCAATTTTATCTCTCAGGTTTTGCCCCTACCCCTCTGAATCATCATCTCTCACCCCTTACTCCCACCCCATCTCATGTTTCCCCCCACCATGTCATAATCTTAGTGTCTGTGTTGGTCTCTGTCATCATCTCTTTCTTTACAAGATCATTGAATACTCAATTTAGAAGGGGTTGAGGGGATGGGACAGTTAAAGTATGAGATTTCTGTGGAGGGGAGTCCTGCCCATCAGCCTACCGGCATTCTTTCACATGCCAGGTGACCACACAGGAACCAGTGGACTTCACCTCTTAGAACAGGTGTTTGAAGTGAGAGGGCTGTTTGACCTCTGCTTACAGACCATCCTGGAGATGGGAGAGCAGAAGTTGGGCCAAGTGCAGGCACAGTAACTCACACCTGTAATTTCAGCACTTTTGGGAAGCTGAGGCAAGGAGATCGGTTTCAGACCAGCCTGAACAACACGGCGAAACCCCATTTCTACAAAAAAAAATACAGAAATTATCTGGGCATAGTGGTGCACACCTGTAGTCCCAGCTACCCGGGAGGCTGAGGCAGGAGGATCATTTGAGCCCAGGAGGTCAAGGCTGTAGTGAGCAGAGATCGTGCCACTGCACTGCAGCCAGGGTAACGGTGAGACCCTATCTCAAAAAGACGTTGGGCCAGGTTGGCGAAAGGAAGATTAGAGATTTGCTAGCCACAGGTCCCTGCCCTGCTCAACAAGTGCGGGGTTGACTCCTTCACATGGTGCTGGGCACTGGGACTGCAGAGACAGATAAGGCTGGTCTGGAATGGGCTGACTAGAGAGAACATGGATTTGCAGAATTCATGTCATAAACTGCCAAGTCAGCCAGGAGTCTTACTTGATGAGGTTGTATGGCCAGCCATCTGTTGAGGCCATGGGAACCCATTCATCATGTTCATCCTAGCAGAGGGCTTGACACACAGTAGGCATCTGTAAATGATGTTAAACAAGCAGGTGGATGAACCGCAGGAATAAACAACAAAAACCATTCTCTTTACCAGTAAGCTATGTCCCAGGCTTTATCAGACAGCTCTCCTGCACTGATTGACTCCTCCCAACTGTATGTGTAAGGACTCTGATGTTATTCATCAGTCAGCAATCTGAGACAGAAAGGTTTTGCCCAAGTTTAAAAAAAAATTTTTTTTTTGAGACAGAGTCTCGCTCTGTCGCCCAGGCTGGAGTGCAGTGGCCAGATCTCAGCTCACTGCAAGCTCCGCCTCCCGGGTTTACGCCATTCTCCTGCCTCAGCCTCCCAAGTAGCTGGGACTACAGGCGCCCACCACCACGCCCAGCTAGTTTTTTGTATTTTTTTTTTTTTTTAGTAGAGACGGGGTTTCACCGTGTTAACCAGGATGGTCTCGATCTACTGACCTCGTGATCCACCCGTCTTGGCCTCCCAAAGTGCTGGGATTACAGGCTTGAGCCACCGCGCCCGGCCAAAAAAAATTTTTTTTTTTTTTTAGGAGAGAGAGTTGGGTGATCTGATACGACATGAGCTCAGGGTTCGGAGGGAACAGTGATGAGAGAGGTGAGGGTGGGGATGGGAGCTGGGTCATCTAAACCCAGGTAAACAGCTCGGACTTTGTCCTGATGGTAGTGAGGAGTCAGGGAAGGGTTTAAGCAGTGTGGGGGGGGGTCAGGTCTGCCCAGGGAGGTGGGTGGTTTCCCAGATGCCAGAATAGGAGGCCCTTTTGAGAAGTGTGGTTTGAGGACAAGTCCCATGGTTGTTGTCCTACTTTGCCCCCACCTGCCCAGCCTGCCTGGATCGAATCCTGCCCGGATCGAATCCTGCCCAGAGGAGCAGGTCCAAGTGGGGACAGGAAGGGTTTTGATTTAGCTTTTGCACCAAGTACAGAGCAGGTCTTCAATCCGGGAGCCTTGGGGGCTGCCCAGTGTCCAGGGCAGATGCCCAGACTGCTCAAGACAGTATGCAGTCTGTGTCCAAAGTAGTCACAGCAGGCTGTGTGTGGCCTCCAGGAGCTCCTTCTGTTTCACTTCCACTGTCTGCAAGTCAGGCATTTTCTGTATCACCAAGCCTCTGCCATTGCCATTGTCTCCTCTGCCTTTTGAGTGATATGCTCGCCTCTCTCCCTGTCAACCTCCTCCCCTTCCTCCCTCTCCCCCTCCATCTCTCTTGCTCACTTCCCATACCAGCATCCTTTGTCATCCCAGCTTTCTTCACCCGAGTCCAGTTGGTCCTTACCACCCCCATTCTCCTCTCTCCCAACCAGACTGCCCGGTTCCTGGGCCTGACCTGGAGATCAATCCCACTCTGGAGTCTCTGTGTCTGAGCATGACAGAACACGCCTTGGGTGGTGAGCATTTCCTCTTTCCCTGACCCAGCTCCCACCTACCCAGCGTCTCTTCCTCTGAACTGAGCAACTCAGAGTCATCCTGAGGGGTCCCCAGGGGAGGCCAGACTCCAGGGAGGGCCTGACCGGGATGACAGGCTACCTGAGTGCCTTTTCTTGGGCCTCCCTCCAGCTCCTGATCTTCCTCCCTTCCTCCCTTTCTTACCACAGATGGGACAGACAAAACCTCCACCATCTGACGGGACCCACAGCCCAGCGCACCCATAGGCTCCCTGGGCGGCGGGCGGGGGCCAACCCCCAACAGGCTTCTCCGCGACAGCGAGAGGGTGGGCTGGCTCAGCTATATATTCTAATATTTTTCTACTCTCTCACCCTTTTAACTTTTGTTTAACATTGGCACATGCCTTGCTCACTCCCAGGCCCGTCGAGGGATCTCTGCTGAGGCCCGGGGAGTTGGGGGCAGCCAGGATAAAGGGGGCAGGGACTGGCCAGACTGCCTGCCTCTCTCCTTTCCTTCTTCATCCCCACCTGGTCCCATCCCACCCCTGCCTCCTCCAGACCGCTGACCACCTGCCTCTCCCCAAGGGAGCAGACTCCCCAGAGACAAACTGACCACTACCTTGTGGAGCCTGCTCAGAAATATTTGATATTTGGGGTGACATGAGCAGGGCAGAGAACCTGCCCTCCAGAATGTTATTGAGAGGAGCTGGGGAGAAGGGAGGGGAGCAAGGAGAGGAAGCCCTCTCTCCTCTCCCTCCTTCCCCTTTACCATTCCCCACATTCTCCAAGGACAGGAGCCACCTTCTTCTCTCTCACCTCCTTTGGCCCTGTTCACCAGAGGTTCTCTATGATTAATTTCTTAGGCCTATTTAAGATACATATTTATATAGTTCTTAACGGTTTTTCTCTGATCATTTCCTCTCATTTTTAGAATCCCCAGGCCTCTCTCTGAGCCAAGACAGTGGCAGGGGGAGCCTGAACTTTATGAGGGGAGAGGGCAGAGCCCCCTCCTCCAGATCCCCAAGCTCTAACCCATTTTCCTCCAGCCCTGGCTCCCCAGATGAAGAGGTTGGAGGTGGGCAGCCAGGGTGGCCAGTGAGGTCAGGAAGTCTGTTGCCTTAACGTCCCCTTCCCTACGAACACACACCCTTCTCCGCTCCCAGGTCTGGTTGGTGATACTTGGGAGTCAGGAATAAGGGAAAGGGGATTGTTTGGTTTTTGGGTTTTTCCCTAAGCCCCTCCCTTTTCTTTCAGCCTTTCCCCTCCCCCCATTGTCATGACCTCACTTAAGTGGAACACTATATCATAACCCAGAGATTTGTCCCAGTCCCAGAGTCTGACAGACTGTCTGGTCCCTATTCCTAATGAGGGGTTGTGTTGGGGCCCAGGTGGAGGGAGGGGATTCGGGGGTTCAGACTGCGGGGAAGCCAGGGTCTCCCTCTTCAACGCCCTCCTCCCCCTCAGCCCACCCTCCCCACTGGGACATTCTCAAGCTTTTCACACCGAAAAGGAAAAAAAATGTTATTTTTAGATACATTTTATGAATAACTTTTGTTATGAATATGGCTGGTAACCATTGTGTATGTTATTAAAGATACAAAATGTTGGGAAAAAAACAAAAAACCAAAAAAAAAAATTTTAAAACCACCACCCTCCCTGCACTATCACCCCATTCCCCAGACCTTCTTGCCCCCACCCTCCTGGTCTGTGGACCTCCCTCTGCTCTGAGCCCAGGGAGGGGGAAGAAGCCAGGGGGTAAGGGTGGCCCTGGGAACCTGGCTCTGGGTCCCCACTTCCTCTCCCAGTGCCGGGCTGGGTGGGGTGTCAGGTTTATTTATGTACCTCTTGCACACTCATCAACCTATGCAAGTCCCCCACCCCGGCCCTCCATGTTTCTGTGCCTTTGCTCATCCCCTCAATCTCCCAGGGCTTCTCCAGTCCCCCTCCCACTAGCTGCAGGAAGTGGGATGGACGGGCCACCTCGTTTGGAATCAGCAGGGTGTCCCTCTCATGGGACCCTCCCCTCTCCCCAGCCTGTCCTGTCTAGTTCACTCTCCATCAGGGTGAGCTGACTGTGCCTGGCACTGGGAGATGGTGAGGGACACCGTCTCACACACACAGGGAGGCAAGAGCTGCCCCCCACCCCACCTGACAGCAGAGTGTGCAGGACGCAGGCGGCCCCACTCTGATGGGCAGGACCCTGACCCTCTCCCGCTCCAGCCCCCTCCCCAGGCCCTCCATGATTTCGCCCTCCCCACCCACTTCTGTCCCCAGCCCCACTGGCAGAATCAGCTTTGAGTAACTGTACAGTTTTTCTCGCTGTTGGAGAAGACTTATTTGTTGGAGTTTCACTTGTTTAATGGTCTGGGCTTATTTTGGAAAAAAAAAAAAAAAAATTCTGACCTTTGTTGTGCTACATTTTGTGGGAAGCCATTGGTCCTGCCTCTGGCCTGTGTTTCTAAGCCTCAAGCCAAGATCCTTGAGCACCTCGGGGTGGGGGGAGGTGTGTGCTGGACTGAATGACATCATAGGGGCTGGGAGGGGAAGTAAAGAGAAGTTGACTTTATTAACAGGAAAGGTTTGGGGGTGGGGAACAAACAAGTGAAAGGCTCACAAACAGACCACTAGAAAAGTGCCATCCTGCTCACAATAATGGTGTCTGAACCAGCCCTGAATGCCCTGGGACTCAGTCACTGTCACTATCAGCTTCACTGGAATCAGAAGCTGCAGCTTCACTGCCATCCTCCTGAGCCGAGTGCTCACTGCCACTGGGGAAGGGACTGGCGCTGCGGCTGCGGCTGTGGCTCCGCTGGCCACCCCCATTGCTGCCGCTGTCCGAATCATTGTCACTGCCACCTTGGGCTGGTCCTCTGTCCTCATCATCAGAGTCAGCATCATCCTCTGAATCAGCATCACTGCCAAAGATCTCCTCTTTGTCACGGGCAGCCCGGGCCTCATCCTCGCTGCTCTCGTCCTCACCACTGCCACTCTTGTCACTGGCCTCGTCCCTGTCAACTTCCTCCCGTTCACTCTCGCTGCCCGAACGCTCATCTTCACTGCCCTCCTTCTCACTGCTGCTGCCTTTCTCCTGCTCCTCATCTGGAAGGGAGTGGAGAGAGGTGAGACCCACTTTTCCACCTTCCCAGGGCTCCCAGAGTCTGGCCTGTCCAGATTTACCTGAGCCCCCAGCTTCTTTCTCTTCTGTCTCCATCTCCTCTTCCTCTTCCTCCTCTGGTTCGTGGTTTTCTAGCTGGGCCTTCCGTGCCTCCTGGAAGCAGCAAGATTGGAATGAGGGGAAGGAGGGTGTTCTGTTGGGTTTTTGTCCCCGTCCTCACCTGCAACCACCACCCTCCCTGCCATGGGTACTCTGGGCCAGTCAGTAGTGCTTGTTACCTGAGCTTCCAATTCCTTCTCATTCATGTCCCGATGTTTGACCACAAGCAGGGCGTTGGTGCCTGACTGAACCCCAGCCTTGGCCCGGCGCTTACTAAGGCGGACCCTGCAGGGGGTAAATTTGGGGGAGAGAAGTAGAAGATGCAGTTAAAGACACACCTCCCACTCCCCCGCCCCCCAGTGAGGGGTCTGGTCTGACTTGGTTCCCCATCCATACTAAGAGTAAATGGGAATAAATACAGATTGAATAAGGGCAACTAAGCTCAAGGTATTGAGGGCAGGGGAAAGGAAGGATGGCTCCCATGGCACCAATTTGGTTGCCCTACACTGTGCGTTATATGGTGTATTTACATAAATATGAGCATGGGCCACTTAACAGGGACACATTCTGAGAAATACATCATGTGAACATTATACAGTGCACTTACACAAATGTACACAGTATAGCCTACTACATACCTAGGCTGTAATGGTGTAGCTTATTGCTCCTAGGCTACAAAGCTGTACAGCATGGGACTGTACTGAATACTGCAGGCAATTGTAACACAATAGTAAGTATTTGTATATCTAAACATAGAAAAGGTACAGTCAAGACACGGTATTCTATCTTAAGGGACCATCATAAGCAGTCCATTGTTGACTGAAATACATGAAGTGCATTACTGTATACGTGAATTAGTTACCAACACTTTGAGAAACCAGGAGAATCATCTGAATTTGGGGCTTTTGGAAGATAGGAATTTTTGGCTCCACAGCATAGCAACAGTGGGCTGGAAGTGACATCGTGCCCTCCATGGTTGCCCAGAACTCCAGGTCACTCAGATGCTACCACGCCACTGCTCTTTTACATTTCCTGCCTGGCCTATGGGGTCAGTTCTTGTAATCTCTGCTTTAAACAGAAACTTAAGACTTCCCAACTCTACACCAGAGGTGCTGGCATAGCAGTAAACTTTCAGCCATCAGGGAAGAGTTTTGGGGTCACATTTTTGAATGTGGGTATTAAGCATTTCATTTAAAACATTCATGCTGGCCGGGTGCGGTGGCTCATGCCTGTAATTCCAACACTTTGGGAGGCCGAGGTGGGTGGATCACAAGGTCAGGAGTTCAAGACCAGCCTGGCCAAGATGATGAAACCCCGTCTCTACTAAAAATACAAAAATTAGCCGGGTGCAGTGGCTCATGCCTGTAATCCCAGCACTTTGGGAGGCTGAGGCAGGTGGATCACCTGAGGTCTGAAGTTTGACACCAGCCTGACCAACATGGAGAAACCCCGTCTCTACTAAAAATACAGAATTAGCCGGGTGTGGTGACAATGCCTGTAATCCCATCTACTCCGGAGGCTGAGGCAGGAGAATGGTTTGAACCTAGGAGGCAGAGGTTGCTGTGAGCAGAGATCGCGCCATTGCACTCTGGGCAACAAAAGCGAAACTCCGTCTGAAAAAAAAAACAGCCAGGCGAGGTGTTGGGCGCCTGTAGTCCCAGCTACTCGGGAGGCTGAGGCAGGAGAATGGCGTGAACCCAGGAGGCAGAGCTTGCAGTGAGCGGAGATCGCGCCACTGCACTCCAGCCTGGGTAACAGAGCGAGACTCCATCTCAAAAAAAAAAAAAAAAAAAAAAAAAAGCCGGGTGTGGTGGCAGGCACCTGTAATCCTAGCTACTCAGGTACTCAGGAGACTGAGGCAGGGGAATCTCTTGAACACGGGAGGCAGAGGTTGCAGTGAGCCAAGATGGCACCACTGCACTGTAGCCTAGGCGACAGAGCAACACTCTGTCTCAAAAAAAAAAAAAAAAAAAACATGCTAATTTTATATATTACTCCATACTTTGGCAATGTTTACTTTCACATGAAGTCTGTTACTAATACTGGGAAACTTGGCCCTCTACCCTGCACAAAAGCTCTAAATGTCTTCTGCATTAAGATTTTCTTTCTGGCTGGGCGCGGTAGCTCACACCTGTAATCCCAGCACTTTGGGAGGCCGAGGCAGGCAGATCACCTGAGGTCAGGAGTTCAAGATCAGCCTGGCCAACATGGTGAAACTCCATCTCTACTAAAAATGCAAAAAAAAAGTTAGCTGGCCATCCTGGCACACGCTTGTGATCCCAGCTGCTCAGGAGGCTGAGGCAGGAGAATCACTTGAACCCAGGAGGCAGAGGTTGCAGTGAGCTGAGATCACACCACTGCACTCTGGCCTGGGCAACAGAGCGACACTCCATCTCAGAAAAAAGATTTTCTTTTCTGGCTTCTCCTATTAGAACCAAGTCCAGCTCATGTGCATGATCAAACATCTGCTGTTCTTGTTTACCGATGCGTATGACAAATTATTAGGTACAAAGGACCTCCAGCGTCGCTCTTGCATGCCCCAGGGTCTTAAGAAGCACAGATCCAGGCTAATCAGATAGGAGTGTGCTGAGTACCTAGTTTCCAACTCATTGTAGTAAACCCCGTCACCCTCTCGGAAGATGAAGAAGTAGTTTTCCTCATAGCCCTTGCTAGCTTTGTTCTTCACGTTCCAGTTGTACTCCCGAGCAATTTTGTAGTCATACCTGAGGATGAGGGCACAGGTTCAATCCCATTTCCTCCCTATCCCTATCCCAATCCCAATCTCCAAAACTTCCCATTCCCCAAAACTTAACCCCAACCCACGCACACATCATCTGGTGCATAGTCCATCTCCTCCTCCTGGTCCCGCTTTCGTTTCTTCAACGTCTCTTCTACAGGAAGGAAATAGGCCACAAACTGGTTCCCTTCCTCATCCATCATGCCCCTGGTTGGGGGAAAAGGAGTGGCAATGAAGTGTGAGGCCAAAAGGCAGCAAGGAGCAGGCCAAGGTGGGCAGCAGGACCAACTACCTAATCATGGCCTGAGACATCATCTCCAACGCAGCTGCGCCACTTGTGTCCTTGGGGGCTGGGTCTGAGTCAAAGATCACCTGAGCACATGGATTGATCCACATCTAGGGAGATGGAGGCACTGGGGTTAGATGGGAACAGGCACAAATAGGCTGTCCCTTTCTACCTCCCACCTTGGGCCTGACCTTAAAGTCTGGGAAAACAGGCATGACCTCCACCGGTGTGACTCGGGGTTTGCTGTAGTGCTGGGAGATCTGGTGGGACAAAAACAGGGTGAGGAGGAGCTCTGCAGCCACACCCTTACCTCTCCCCATCCCAGTCCCTCAATTACTGATTTCTGGGCATCCTCAAAAGTCTTCTCAATGGCTGTGAT